ACATTTTCGTCTGTTGCTAATTAGATGAACGGTATAGAAAGTAAAATGATTAGGTCCCAGGAGAAGATGGATTTTCCCCAGTGAACCCCACTGGAGGACTCTCAGTTATGGAAGAATTGTTATTTTAGTTAAAGATATGTTTGGAAATGTTTTCTTTCTTCTTCTCATTAACATCATGATCATTGCCATTAAAAAAAAAAAAATCTTCATTTACAAACTATCTGGCTACTCTGAACAGAATTACTTACTTTGCTCTCCAAAGTGAATTGAACTATCACTATTCTCTACTTTCCAGTGAATTATTCTTCGTTCAAAAGAAAAAAAAATCCTGATATTTTATAATTAAAAATGAATCCCTGAGTCACTTGACTTGCTACAATAACAAAATAAACCACATAAAAATGACCTTCATCAGCCATCAGTGAGCCCAAGAATTGATATAATCCCACTTTATTTACCTAACCTTTTTTACCAGCCTCTCAATACTACTTCAACAAACTTTATCAGAGCCATTCCTTTAAGTGCCCTTTTTGCTATTATTTAATATTATAAATCTAGCGTTTATGCTCCAACCTGTGTCCCCTCATTTTCTTTCCCAACTAAAGAATAGCAGTTAATTGAGAATGGAAAAACAAGTCCTAGAACAATTATGAAAATATAATGAAGTTTGAATTAGTACACGCAATTAAACAATGGTAAGATGCATGAGAAGGTGTGAATAGAATTCATTGCTGATGTGATGCATTTATAGTTAGGTCTCTGGGTAGGAATATACTGAAAGAGAAGAGAGGAAAAAGTACTACTCGTACAGTAAAATTATACCTCTGGAAGCTAAGCAGGATCGGGCCTGCTTAGTACTTGGATGGAGACCTCCTAGGAAGACCAGGTGCTGTAGGCGTAAAAAATAAAAAATAAGGGATTGTAAATTGACAAGGTTTTTGCAATCCATGAGGTCAACCAAGAGTCGCCTCTCCTAAAAAAAATAAATAAAAAATAATAATAATAATAGAAAAAATAAAAAAAATTTTAAAAATCATACCTCTGGAATTCGGCTTAAAGAAAAAATCATGGTTTCTCTCCTAACCCATGATATTCTAATATAGAAATTAAAACATTGGATAAATGTTTCAACACTCCTTTTATCATAGTTGAAAATTGCACTTTTCAAATGTCCAGACGATTCTGGACCCATTCGACAAGCATTGAATGCAGAGTGTGCCAGGCTCTGGTCGAGTTGCTGGGCTATAATAGAAAGAGGAGGCAAAGGTCCCCACTCTCCTGGAGTTCACCATCTAACCCTGACTGGTGCTTTGAGATTGTGGTTCACCAATTTGAAGGTTTTCATATGCTGCCATGACAGAGAACTTCTGGATTCACAAACACGTCTTGCACTATTTATCTCAGAAATCTAATTAAAAGTTGTTGGTTTTGTTTTTTTTTTAATGTCATTTAATCTATCTAGTTAATCAATCTGGTCAGAATTTTTGTTTGTCAAAATAGAGGATACCATTTGCTCCCTTCCCAATTCTAGTTAAGAGCTCATTTACCCATGGGGACCTGGAATCATGGGGGATGTGGACTCCATTTAATCATTCAACACATATAAACAGATAAATAAATACTATATAAGGTACTGTACATACTTCTACATTACAAGGTTGAAAGGATAGGAAAATAAGTCTAGACTTTCCACTATTTCCCAGTCCATAAATTTCTTAGTGACTCTGGGACTTTAAATCCTCTTATCTTCATTTTGTTATTTAAGAAAAACCTCACACGATGCAGTATCTGAGGTTCTGTGAGTATCTACAGGCCTAAAGCCTCGTGAGAGCCTGAGAACTATTTCTAGGAAACATTGTTAATTAAGGTGCACCTTTACCTCATTGTTTAAGAGGCTTTCTTTTCATCTAATATTGTTATTATTACTAATAAGCGCATAAAGCATGTATGGGCTGACATATACTTTTACACCATGTTTTATTTTCCTCCTGTTCCTCCTCCAGTTAGCTGGCGTTGCCTGGAAGTGCTCCTCTGACTTTAGTCTTTGCTAATGCTCCTTTGGTTTTTCAGCACAACATGCAGGGTCTTCAATGTCTGCCTGTCACTTTCCTTATAGGTTTCACCTAGCTTGACGAGCAGCAAACTCTTGTGCAGCTCTCTTCACCTCCTTCTTCTCTGGGTCTTGCAGTGTCAGGCAAGTGCTCCCTTGTCCCTTCACATGAGAAGCCTAGAGGTGCTGAGGCATCAGAGGACATTCTTTTCCCTCTGATTATTTCTTTATTTCATTGATATTCTGAGTTTCCATCATTTCAAAGAAAAGATACCCTCTTCATCTGGAGCTGTTTTCTAGATAGCTTCGCAACTGGAAAAATTCTTAAATAATGTACAGAAAATAAAGACTTCGGAATGGAATGAAGATTAAGCTTTTAAAGTAGCCTTAGGGGAGGATAAACATGTCTAGCCAGAATAATTGGCAAGTTCGGGAATAATTGCTTACAAAGTGAGAGACAAGGCACGGTTGGTTGCTAGGCCTGCAGAAGTCAACCTTGTCCTTGCCTGCAGTCAAAGGCAGGTTGGAAAGGCTGAGCTGTTCAGTCTCAGTAGCAAAAAAATATATGGTGTCTGTTCTGGATAAGCAGGCCATTTGCCTATAAGGAAGGAAAGGTAACAGCTTTCGTCTGTCGAGACAAGTGGCTTTTCCAAAAGTTCTATTGAGATTTCTTAAAAACAAAACCTGAGAGTGGGGAGAGTTGGCTCAAGGACAGCCGAAAGGGCAGAGAGAAAAAAAAACAACTATGTTTTTTTTTTTTATGGCACACATGGCACACAAACAATGCCATTTAAAGTAATGATCGAATACAGAAGTATTATGAAAATTTCTGATTTGGCTAGTGTTTGTGTTTCTTAATATAGGAACATTAGTAGTGTCTGTTCCCTAAGCCCATGTAAATCTGAACCTTTGTGTTATTGGCCATTTGGAAATAATAATGTAAACAGCCTCTGTTGGCCTAATTAACTTACGTATCTGTATACTGAATACTTTGTCACAGTGCAAATATTTTACTATTCAGTCTAAGCCAAAAGGCTTTGTCAAACTAGATACTGAAAGTACTCTATTGTTTTGAAACAGAATATACAATAACCTAATATTTAAAGGTATTATTTAGAAAAAGAGAAGCTTGGATTGAATTTTCACTTATCATGAACTTTTGGTCATTTTCTTTGCTCTACCCCATAGAAACCCTAAGAATGAGATTGATCTTCTTTACCCACATAATAGCTGCATTTTCTTTTTCCACTTTGCCTATAAATCCAAAGGTGGTTTATATAGAGTTTATTTGTGATGGGTCTTAAAGAATTAGGAGACTTTAGTAAGGGAGAGAGGAAAATAATGTTGAGGATGAAAGAATGAACAATGAGAACAATAAAAATGAGAATGAAAAATTATTGTGCTCGGGAAGCGGTGTATTATTAGTTTGGAGGGGGTGCCTTGAATCACGGCTGGTAATGCTGCTTTTCTTACCCATGCTGAAAGCAAGGAATTGGCGTACCTGCATTGTTCCATTCCATTAATAATAGAGTAGAGACTTTTCAAAAAGAAGAGAAAGTGAATTGAAAGACATTATTTCTTCATGGGGTGGAGTGGGGCTCCGTCTCCATTGTGAGTTAATGCTATGGGGTGGAGGCTCTGAGGTGTTAAGTTCAGCTAAATAGTGAGAAGAAACGGAAAGCATTTGGTAGTTGAATTAGTGTTCCGGAGTCGTTTTAACTAAAACGTATTAATCTGTATTTAAAAATGGCTGATGGAAAGGTGAAAGGTTGAAGAAGAGAATCTTCTAAGTGGAAGAGCTTGGTGCTCCTCAGCCGAAATATTGTTGTTTACAAGTAAGGAAAAACAACATTCATTTCCTAGGTAGTCTATAAACTTAACCGGGTGGGTACAAAGCACTTCCCTGAATATAAGGAGATGTTCTTTGGGTGGTTAAAACCTGATGCTCCCTAGGTCTCTGAATCTGAATATCATTTGTGGCCAGGATTCAAGTTCTTTGCAATGTAGCTTTAAAGTCTCATCTCAATCCGGAGATGTGGCTCGGGACTTATTCTTTTGGCCCCAACATTCCGTGACAGGCCCCACAGTGGATGCTGGAAGTGGGAGGAGAAGGGCTGTCACCTAATCACAAAATCGCAGAACCAGGATCTGCCATTTCAGATCTCCTGGGACTGGAACTCCTGTAATCTCTTGTTTTAGAACAGAGTAGGGCGGGGCAGGAAAGCTTCACAAAGGAGCCATGATGGATGAGGTTTATTTTACTTGTCGGTTCAGTCATTTTTTTCATTAAAGCAGCATATTTGAGAGAGCAGCCTACATTATATCCCGTGGCTTGTACTGGGAATGTCGAGGGACCAGGTCGTGGATCATTGCCATGAGCAACAAGACGGGGGTGAGTGCCGCAGCCTGTCGGATGACTAGCAGGAAACACATGCCTGCCAGAACACATCATTTCAACTTTGGCTTTCACTGTACTAATTCCCTGAACGGCAATAACAAGAAGGGGAGTGGGGGGAAACATGGGAAATGAAAGAAAAGAGATCTGAGAAACTAAATCTGCAGGGGTAAAGCAGTTACCAGAGTTTAAGTGAAACAGCTCACAGATGCAAGCAGGGAGGTAGAGGGAGGAGAAAAGGCTGGGCTTAAGCAACCTGCTACTGGGATTTAGACAAAGGCGGGTTGAGAGACAGAGAACAAGGCGGGATCAGTTGCTAATATCAGCATGGGGACAGAGCCAGCAGCTGGACTCCCAGCATGAAACTGAATAAATTCACAGCGTCTCCTTCAGGGTAGGAATTACTGGAGTATGTACCAAAATAAGAACTCAGAGAAAAAAAGTAAGTTTGGGAAAGGACTTAACAGATTTTCACGGTCTTTGAAATCTCGCTCCTCTTGAGGCATGTCTTCATCGATGCGTACCTCTTTACACATGCCTGCCAGAACACATCATTTCAACTTTGGCTTTCACTGTACTAATTCCCTGAACGGCAATAACAAGAAGGGGAGTGGGGGGAAACATGGGAAATGAAAGAAAAGAGATCTGAGAAACTAAATCTGCAGGGGAAAAGCAGTTACCAGAGTTTAAGTGAAACAGCTCACAGATGCAAGCAGGGAGGTAGAGGGAGGAGAAAAGGCTGGGCTTAAGCAACCTGCTACTGGGATTTAGACAAAGGCGGGTTGAGAGACAAAGAACAAGGCGGGATCAGTTGCTAATATCAGCATGGGGACAGAGCCAGCAGCTGGACTCCCAGCATGAAACTGAATAAATTCACAGCGTCTCCTTCAGGGTAGGAATTACTGGAGTATGTACCAAAATAAGAACTCAGAGAAAAAAGTAAGTTTGGGAAAGGACTTAACAGATTTTCACAGTCTTTGAAATCTTGCTCCTCTTGAGGCATGTCTTCATCGATGCGTTACCTCTTTATATTTTCTGTCTCTTGTGTAATCATTTTTATCGTGTTCTACGTGTTCAGTTTTGGGGGAGAGCAAAGCTTCCAGAGGCTGAATAATTCAGAAACTTTGATGTTGACTCAAGTTTGCACATCCTTTATCAAAGGCAAAACACCTTTCCTGTGGAGAAACAAACTAACAATATATGAGAAGTCTTCTTGCAAAGAATACCTGACCCAAAGCCACTATATCACAAGCCCCTTATCTAAAGAAGAAGCTGAATTTCCTTTGGCATATATAATGGTCATCCATCACAATTTTGATACTTTTGCAAGGCTCTTCAGAGCTATTTACATGCCTCAGAACGTCTACTGCATTCATGTGGATGAAAAAGCAACAGTTGAATTTAAACATGCAGTGGAGCAGTTATTGAGCTGCTTCTCAAATGCTTTCCTGGCTTCCAAGATGGAGCCAGTTGTGTATGGTGGGATTTCCAGGCTCCAGGCTGACCTGAACTGCATCAGAGATCTTGTGGCCTCAGAGATCCCGTGGAAGTACGCCATCAACACCTGTGGGCAAGATTTCCCCCTGAAGACCAACAAGGAAATAATTCAGTATCTGAAAGGGTTTAAAGGGAAAAACATTACCCCAGGGGTGCTGCCCCCAGCTCATGCAATTGGACGGACTAAATACGTCCACCGAGAGCACCTGGGCAAAGAGCTTTCTTATGTGATAAGAACCACAGTTCTGAAACCTCCTCCTCCCCATAATCTCACCATTTACTTTGGCTCTGCATATGTTGCTCTATCAAGAGAGTTTACCACCTTTGTTCTGCATGACCCACGGGCTGTTGATTTGCTCCAGTGGTCCAAAGACACATTCAGTCCTGATGAACATTTCTGGGTGACGCTCAATAGGATTCCAGGTATGTGAAATTCCATATTGCACGTGATGGCAATGTGCCATAGTCGAAAGGGCTTTTTGAGAGCCTACTCCTTTTTATTTGAAGTGGAAGATGAAAACTGAAATATATAGTTCTCACCCTAATTCTTTCTAAGTGCAAAATGATGTTTTGGTTGTTTTTTTTAATGTGATAGTATGATATTCTAGCAAAGCCAAATAATACCTTTCAGTGGATTTGCTTTGCAGTTCATCATGTTCTTTTGCATTTATCATCTTATTAAATCTTTCCCACAATAGATGTTATTGTTCTCAATCCCTGCTAGAGTTCCCTCTTTCTTCCAAATTTGTCAAACTTGCTCTTACCTCAGAACTTTTGCCTTAGCCATTCTCCTGCCTACCCCTAGACCTTCACAGCTCCTTCTATCAGCCAGATGTCATCTGAGCTGACTGACCACCCCACCCTGTTTTTCCTTCAATCACCATCTGGAATTATCATATTAACTTATTTGTATGCGTTTGTTCTTGGCCTCCTCTGCATTAGCTCAACGAAGTCGGGCCATTTTCTCTCTTGTTAACTGCTGTATCTTCAATGCTTAGAACACTTAGTAAATGTCTGATAAGTGTATTTTAGGTGAGTGAATGAATGATGAATAGCAAATCATGAGGCTTTACTATGGCACCACAGCTGTCTCCCTAAGACCAAGTGAGCTGAGAAATATTTGGACTCGCGCATGTACCATATCATAGATGTAGAGTTTATATTATACATAAATGTATACTTTATCTATTTATATTATAATATGTTTAAATATATTATGTTAAGTATAATATATTTGTGTTATATAAATATATTTTATATATACACATTTATATATTTACTTCAGGTAAATAATGAGATTCTACTGCAGAAGCTCCTTTTTTTTCCATCAGAACATTTCTACCTTTACTAATGGACTAGATCCATTATTTTTAAAACTATTAAAAAAACACGATAGGATTTCTTCTGAAGGAAATAGCACGCTGTGGACTCCGTGGAAAACACAAAGCAGATTTCTGACGAACCCGACAGCATTATTACAGCAGAGAAAAGCGATCATTGTTCTGGTGGTTGGGGGGCCGCCAGGTTGGAAACACTGGTAGGTGCTCTCGGGCTGCAGGGCAGGGCCCGCTGGGCGATAAACACGCCGGCATTCTCTGGAAAATACTGTGTTTGGGTTCTGAATCCCAGGGTGATCGGCCTGGGGAATAGGGCTGGCTCTTGTCCTGTGCATTCTCTCTTTCCTGACCTCTCTCGCCCTATGGCCACCATGTTTTCACCTTTTATCTGTTGTTTCCATCATTAGTGTATAATTTGGGAGCATTAGGTATTTAGAGGCTGATTTTCATAGTTAAATGTATAATATATGTGTATATTTTCACTATTCCCTTAAAATTTATAGAAGTTTAGTTCTAGCCATGTGATTCCTTAGATATCGTACTGAGATTAAGGCATTTCCTAACTTAGAAAAGCCTGAATTGTTGGTTTGGAGAAAAAAAAAAGAGAAACCTGGGTTTTGTTTAATGTCTGTGGTTACTTTGACGGAAGGACGGTCAGTATAATCAACATCAAACCAGAGTAAGAAAATCAAGGGAAAAAAGAAAGTTTCATCTCCCTTTTTTTCCCTTAGCCCCCTTCTCCTTTCCAGCCCTAGTCAGACAGACAATGTGAGAGACCTCGAATAATATCTAAATAGGCACAGGAGAGAAAACTATTTTTACTATAGGTTTATGGTGTGGCACACTGGCTTCTGCCCTGTCACAGCAAATGTATGACCCTACGTAAATCACGTAACCTCTTGGGACCTCAAATCTCCTAGCTAAAAAATGAGGGCACAAGTACCATACATGTTTTTCTTTGCAGAAGATGCAATGCCCAGAATCACATAAACACCCATCACGTGGCTATGGGAATTCATAGAAAGGTGGGAATGCTGGTGGTGAGTCTGGACTCCGATTTTCCCATTAGCTCTGGTGAATACATTCCATTTCCTTTGTAGAAAATCGGAGGTGAGAGCTCTGCCAAGAAAGCATCTCTCCAGGGAGGCAGGTGAGCCATGTCAGGGGGCTGTCAGGTCTGATTCTGCAGGGCAAGCCTTTCAGGCTAACATGACATTTCCTGGGGCTTTGCCACCTTCCTTTGTTAGACTCTGGATGGCATCCTGGTTCAGGGAGATAGCGAAAGGATATCCTCCTTGCAAGTTGGCCCTTCCTGAGTTACAAATGATTTAAAGAAAATAATTCATCAAACACTATAGTCTCGGTGCTGGCTATCTCATCTTCAAAGGCAATGTAAAATTTAATCATACACTCAAGTAACTCCAGTGGTTTTATACTTGGCATTCTTTGTGATTTAAGATTTGGTGTGTGAACCTGCTTCTTTATTACCAAACTGAAACCATATCAGTTCTTCTATTTTCAATGTTATGTTTTTAGGGGAAAAGTTCTGCAGTTAATACAGCGTAAACATATTTTTTGCAAATGTGCAAGTCCAGAGAGTGGTGTTCCTTCCCTTCCTCAAGGTTTCCTTCTGTCTTTCTCCTAAACATCCTCAAGCGTTTTCATTAGAAAGAACTTGCACAGGCATTTTAGTTTCCCCCAAACACTCACAAGAGTGATATGACTAAGAAAATGATTGGTACCTTATAATGAGATATCAGGAAAAAAAAAGTGAAAATGGTTTAAAATTGGTGAGACTCAATAGAAAGGATATTCATAGAGGTAGCACTGAATCACATATCTTCACACTTTTTTTTTTTTTTTAATGTCTTTCTATTGAGAAAATGGCTTCTCTCTTGGTTTTCAACCCTTAGGCTTTTCCTATACTGCATTAGAAACAAAAATGATGGGGCCAGAAAAAGTCCGTTGGTGGCTTCAGTCTCAATACTTCTTCTGGGGAGGCCAGGCAGAGTGGCTGTGACTCATGTACAGACAGATTGTCTAGACCTCTCCCTCTCGACATAGTCTCAAAGGAAACTGTCCAGGAGCACAAATTTCTTTGACTTACACTACAGAACATCAGGCTCTGCTAGCAGTACCGCACCCCAAATTCTGGTGCACACTTATATTTTCTAATTTCTCAGATCTTTATCATTGCTACTATATGTCACCTTAAGAAAAGCCCATTTTCTCTAGCTTTTCTGGTTATTTCTTTGCCATTTTCTTTTACTTATCCGCCCCAGGGAGGAGTGCCAGAGGCCTCTTAGATTTTTGCTTTAAGTCTTGTCAAATTGTTTAGCATCTGCAGAAGCTGTTGCTGGTCTAGTTTTTTTCTCAGTCCATTCCTATGGCTAGATTATCCTCTTGTCCCATTTCAGGGCAAGTCTATCTCTAATGAAAAGGCAAAGCTGCTACATGCTTTGGCTTCAACTACTTTTTTTCTCTCAGTGCATAAATTTGTTCTTTTGAATTTTTGCTCACGCATTACTCTGACCTTTCTCATGCCATGATGTTATTCTTCCATAAGAATGTTTTCATTTATTTGCTTTGCTTCCTTTTTTCATTTTGTATACATTTTTTTCAGAACTCCTTTGTGAAATAAATTCTCTCAACCTTGGAGTGACCACATGATCACATTTCCTCATTTTTCAATTCTAAAAATAGCATGTTTCCTACTTCAATTTATTTTGCTTTTTTAACTTGAAGTTTTATTTATATGTGCACATTCTTTGAGAGTAAGTGACAGAAACGAAACCCAAAGTTGCTTAAACAGAAACAAGAACTTACCGAGTCATAGAATTAAGCTGTTCAAGGAGCGGCTCCAAATAAAGCTGGATCAAGAGTTAGAGCAATATATTCAGGACACTTGTCAGGCTTTCTCTCTGTGGGGAGACCAACCATCCCTAATTGTTCAGGTCTGAGGGTGAGTCCTGGGAGTGGGCCTTTCAGTACTAAAACAAAGAATGTCCCAGAAAACTGAGGCATGTTCTCCCACATAGTATCAGAGATGGTCAGAAGTATCTCCTGGTGTTTGGTTCTGACAGCTGGTACTCCTGAGGGGAAAGAAAGTCTTTTGCCTAATAGTTCCAGCAACAGCACAGGGAAGTCTTCAGATTGGTTCTGCTTGGTCTAAATTGCTATCCCTAAACAAAGCAGGGGTAGGAGGAATACTGACTAGCCTTTCTTGGGCTGCTTTCCCACAGTCGAGCTAGAGGTTAGGGACAGGCTATGGTGGAGTGATGCTAGGCAGACAAAAAGCACAGGCTCACTGTAAGATGGTTCCTTGTTTTGCAGGCAGAGTTATTCTGACCATCTTCACAGGATATCAGAGGGGCAAGATTTAATGCAATATAAAGCTTTAAGCACTTGAGCTATTTTAACTTGGAGAATACTAATTAAATTACCTCTGTGGAAGTATGATCTTATAAGCATACCGCATTTCCCTCATAAAACTATTTTCAATAATGTTCCTTTATTATATTTGGATAGTACTCGGTTTGCAAAATATTTCTTACACATTAGTTTTTTTAATCCTCATAAGAACCCTCTAAGAGGAAGACTATTGTTCCCATTTTGCAGATGAGAAAATTTAAGATTAAAATATGTGACTTGTCCAAAGACAAATATTACATATATCTAGCAATAAATAAGAATAAAAAGAAACATCTAGGAAGAACAAAGACTTATGTTATACATTTAGATTAAACTGAACCTAATTTTACAAACCATTTAATTATGACAATGCAACTGTTCAGAAGATGAAACTTAACTAATTTTAAGTCTTATTAAGCTTATAGAATGATTATATCATTGAACCTACCCAAGAATGTTCCCTCTTGTTCCTTATGTTATCTCAATATTTAGCCCATTTCCCAGAACTTTTGTTTTTTTCATGTGAACAGAAGGTACAGGAAATATTAAGAAACGAATGTTTACTGAATATCTGCCTCGGGTCTGCATTATCTCAGTGTAACCTTCACAGGAATTTTGTCTGGTTGGTACTTAAATCCACATTTTACAAATATGAAGATGAGATCGGGTTGAGTAATGTCCTC